TGAATATTCATTTAACGAAAATTACCAACCTTATTATTCTATTCTGCCAAGTTAAAAACTACAAAAAAAATGTTCTAACCACTAACACCAAAACCTATAAAACACAACACAAAACACAAGATAAAAGTTACAGTTCTCAAGCATCACTACAACATGATTCGACACCAAGTCCTAAAAACAAGCCCGTGCGTAGCACGGGATAGAGAACTAGTATATATGTAAAAGAAAGTTACTTAAGTGTGGTGATGGCACGTGTCATGCCACGCGTGCATACGACTGACATGTGTCATGCCACGCGTAAACCACAAGACACATGTTACTCTATACATGCATATTTAATTTTGTATTAAATCATTATATTTATTATATTTTATAAACACTTTACTTTCGAACAATAAAAACTCTTATTTCCAACAATAACTATTTTAGAAATGTTTTTTTATTGTTTTAACATATTTTTTTAAATATACATGAATATTTTATAATATAAAAAAAATTATAAAATTTATTAATTAAAAAACAATGCTTCTTATAATTTTTAAAATTATCCACCATCTCAAAAGAAACTATTATATGTAAATTTTATCACACATGCATCTTTATTAACTTCATAACATATTTCAATTTTTTGTCTTATTACATTATTTATTTTAGGGAAATTTACCTAAATAGTACTAAAACATAGTGACTTTCCCAATGTAGTATTATACCCTACAGTTTTATTTCCTAATGTAGTACCACTGGTCATTGTTCAAGTAAATGTCTACCGTCACTAAACATTATTGTTCCCGCCACTAGACATTATTCAAATAGTATTTATGGAATAAAAAAGTCCCGCCACTATACATAATTAGTTGTTATATATCTAAAAAAAGGTTTTATAAACTTTATTAATCTTTTAAAAAAGAAAGTTTGATGTGGCTTTTAATAAACTATTCATTATTTTCCCTTTTATTACATCTCAAAATAAAGATTTTTATAAATTTTAATACTTGTATATCAATATTAAAACGAAAAATTTTTTCTCAAAGGATATATTTTATAGTTAGATATTATTTATCAAACACATCATATATCATTATTAAAGAATTTAAAATAAATGATATTTTATTTTTTAGATGTTTAAATTTAGAATATATGTACGAGGTTAATACTAGTTGAATTATATTTTTCAAATCTGAAGAGAATGAATGGTACGTTACTTGGGAATGAACACTACGTTATTTGAAAATGAACACTACTTTGTTTCAGAATAACACTACGTTATTTATAAATGACTATTATAATTATATTGAACAAATGTGTAAAAATGAGTAATATGTTATTTCAGAATGACTATTACTACCTTCGTCCCGCTATATTCGTCCACTTTTGACTTTTGAAACTGTTCATCTAAGCACTTTGACTAATCAAATTCTCTTAATGTGTAAGCCTAAATATAGTCATGTGTGATCTTGTTTGATTTGTCTTAATATATAGATTATTAATATATAATTTCTATAATTTTTTAATATATAAATTACAAGATAAAATGGATTAAAGAAGTGCATTGGATGGTGTGCAAAAATGAAAGTGGACAAATATAGTGGGACGGAGGGAGTATGTTATTTCACAATGAGTACTATGTTATTTCAAAATGAACTCTTAAGTCTGTGCAATAATGAGTACTATTTTACTTTAGCATGAGTACTACCCGGAGCCATATACCTTCAAGGAAAAAAATGACTAAGATTTTTTATTGGAGTTTTGTCCTTTCTTTAGGGGTGGGCAAAAAATTAAACTAGCATGGTATCATTCCGCACCGTAACGGTACCGAACCGTTTATAGTATTTTTCAAATAGGATTGTTTTTTCATCACGAACCAAAATCGAACCGATATCAAATGGGACAAGACCGTGATACAAATATTTAAAACCGATTATCATGGACCGAGCCGTCCAAAGCTATATACGGAGTATGTATTTCAGATAATTATGGAGTATTTGTCTACTTAATCTTACCGTATATAGAGTACTTTGTATTTTATTATTTATTTTTAAATTTTTTCAATATTATTATTGTTATTATACTCCCTCTGTCATAAAACTTTCTTCCCATTTCCCCTTTTTCTCCGTCCTAAAACTAACTTCCCATTAGAAAAAAAAAGATGACAAATGAAATTAATACTCTCATGTATTTACACCAATTATCTTCTAACTCTATATTTTGAATGATTGCCAAAAAAAAAATCAAAAAATCTTTTTTAAGAAGGCTAAAATTTGAAATCAAAGCCAAAAATTAAAAATGGGAAAAAGTCAAACTTGGAAGAAAGAATTAGGACGGAGGGAGTATTTATTACTACTATTGGCATTATTTTTTGTAGTTATTAATAGCCCGATGTTATTTGAATTGAAAACAACTATTTTTAAAATTTGGACTCGTTATTTTTTATTCTTTATGTTTATGATCTATTTAAATTCAAAATTAAGCAATACTTCTATTTAACAAAGTTGTAACTTTTTATAAAATTTTATACATTAAATCCAATATTCTTTGAATAATGTATGTTTTTTTGGCACGATTTGAGCATGGCTATGATATTGTACCGTTCAGTTTCAAAACGGAATGGTTTGGTTTTGATTTTCATTTCATTTCGTACTGATAGTATAATGGACTGCCAAATCGTATAATGGACTGCCATTATAATGGACTGCCATGCCCGGGTGGTTTCCCTAAGAGGGAAAAAAATTTGAATATAATTCCCAAATGGGAAAGGTAAATTCCTGAGAAGGAAAATTGGCTTTTGACAATCCAATTTTTTTTTAATTTTTTTTATGGTTTTCGGCTTTCATAAAGGCATTTTCTTTTTTTTAATTTATTTTTTTCAGCTTTCCAAAAGCCATTTCAGGAGCTACAGTACAAATCAAGAGTTCCGCACAGTGCATGCGCAGTGATTCCCCTCCCTTTCTCCGTTTCACACTCCACCTCTCCCTATTCCCACACCTAATCCCTTCAACTACTACCCCTCCCAATTCCAGTACAAATAATCAAATCTTTTCCTTCTTTTTACACAAAATACATAATCTCTTCGACTACATCTCACATTCTTTTTCTTCTTTTCTCACTAAATATTCAAAATTTATCTATTCTTCCATAATCATCCAAGAAGTTGAGGTATGTTTTCTCAGAATAATTCTCTATAAGTTTTTTAAATATGTAATACATATTTTTTTACTTTACAATATGTAATGCATATTTTTTTTAGCAACTTGACTAGGCAAAATGTACGCTACTTTAGGAATCAACTTGACTCCTTGCAGTTCTGAAACGTAAGATTAATATTCATAAAATAATTTAGAAAATAATTTGTAAAAAATAGATCATGCATTGACTAATAAATGTATACAAAATACAGGTTGTTTGGCAATCGTACGATATTGATAACTTGCGTGCTTATTGTTGTCGTAGTCCTCAACTATGGACTTTCCAAGGCTATGTTATTTATCGTTTGATTATTGAGCCTGTCATGCCTATGCGATTCACACGACACTTCGGGATGTTGCAAACCATTCCTGAGCTTACCATTTCGTATACGGAGGCCTATTATAAAACCAAGGGATGTAAATCGACCCATTCGGTACAAGCATTTGTGGCGCAATGGAGGGATAATCGCTTCGCCCTTACCGTTTTTCATTAAATGGAGCCCATAGTAGGAGAGAATCCATTCCAAACTACCGTGGAGTATGCTCACTGGTTTGCAACGTACGGTCGGCGTATTATTCGAAACCCCTATCATCGACCTCTAGAGGGATCTGAAAATACTTTTGCCAAACTTGCATTCTTGGTAATTTAGAAATTATAAATATTTACTTATAATAAAATAAATACTTCACTAACTTATTTTTTTCGCAGGAGAATACAATAAAGAAAGCAGAGCGTCGACTCAGTAAAGTTCCCGGAGCGGTTGCTGCAGAGGTTCGAGACAGCCTAAGGGGTGCTTTTGTAACACCCACATCCGTATAACCCGGAATTACACGAATTAAGGTGAAACGAGGGATAAATAAAAATTTCGCTTGACATTTGAAAATGACAATTTCTTATAAATATTAAGTTTACAAATTCTGGATCGCGACCCATTTAAAAATATTTTCAGAGTAATGCGGAAGTACAATAATAATCAAATCATGACACATTTTAAATCTGATGATCAAACATTTGCCTGCCATCCTTGCATCTCCGCTGACTCAATGCCCTCCGGGAGTGGTTCCATCATTGCCTTCTTATTACCTACGTGTAGTCAACGAAAAATACAAACTACACGCTCAGCGAAACCGCTGAGTGGTACCACGCTAGAATTGTAGAATAATATACAAACATATACATATACATATATATATATATATATATATATATATCCACAAAAATGTATAACAATATTCATGATATGGTACATTATATCATATGGTCAATTTGATGAATCATGATGATAAATATTTAATGATAATTACATGATGGTACATTTAATCAATGTGATTGTCCTTGATGATGATTACATGACACCTATGTAATCAATATAATCGTTCTTGATGATGATTACATGACACCTACGTAATCAATATAATTGTACCTGATGATGATAACATGATGCATGATCCTATAACCCGCAAGGAACGACCTTGCACTATGAGATTCGCCCATTTGGTACGACGAACTCATGCCACCTTAGTCTCACGAGGGAGACTAGAAAAATAGGGGTGGTACTCGAAAGCCTGAATACCATGTACGTACACTAAGCCCGGTCAGTGATGTCAGACTGCTAAGTCCCGCACAATCACAGGATATTCTCTGCGTTAATGCGTACTAGAGAATGCGTACGTATACTATACTATACGATGTTATACACACTACTATACTCAGTATACTATACTCGTTAAACATTTATTATACTTACCTATTTATATGAAATAAAATAAACCCACTTTAGACTATTTTTATAGTAAATTAATTCGAACGGGGCTCGGAACGGTCGACCGTTTAGCGCGACGGTCGACCTTGATCTTCATCTGGTCGGATTTGACGGATCACCGTGACGGTCGACCGTTGTTGACTGTCGTGGTCCGTTTCGATGTTTAACGTGACAGTCGACCGTTTGCGTCGACCATTTGGGTCTGCGAATCTTTCTCTTGATATTTTGAGTGTCCAAAAATACTTCTTTAAGTCTTTTAAACACCTTTGATTAATATATACATATTTTTGGGTTGATTACAAATGTTTATATATACTTATGTATATATATATATATATATATATATATATATTAACTTTATGATTTTGGTGTATTATGGTCTTAACATAAGGATGACTTATATATGCGTCACATATATATTTTGGAATGATTTCAACAAATGGATTAACATATATGTTCATGTACGCATGTGATGAATGATTCGACAAGCCTAACGCAAAGGTACAGACCTGGAAATCATTGGCCGAAACCTTACGGATGAGCGGGAGTGGAAACAACATCGAAATTCACCAACTTTGTCATTCTCGTCACAATTGGACAGCCTGCGGTATTTTGGGCATATCTCCATCGTTTCTTCACGGAATTGCAAACCGTTTGATTCTGTGGATTCCTAGGATGTATATAGAAAGTGTTTTGAGATAATGAATTTAAAATAGCTTAAATTGGACCTGAAGTTAGGAGAAAGTTGCAGTCCAAAATTTTGAATACTCTGGTGAACAACGGTTCTGACGATTAACCCATTAACTTCAATATTCCAACACCGAACCTTCTCTACGATACCTTCCGGATGTTCCTAATAATTGTTAGAGAGTTTATGATGAGTATTTGGAATGGAACAACATGAATATGGTGAAGAAACATGGTCCAACCCGAGGAGCTCGCCACCACTGGCGCAGTCCCGGAATTTTGGCCATATCTTCTTCGTTACTTAATGAAATCGCGAGCCGTTTGTTGGGCTGGATTCGTATCGTCCGGGGCTACAACTTTGGTTCAAGAAGTTTTTCGAAATAATGGATGGAAAATTTCAGTTTTTACCTCAAAGTGGACTGATGTATTTTGGACTCAAGGTTTGGAAACTATGGATGGTTTTCTTGCTTCTTCTCCTTCTTCCTTAGCATACAATTATGGAGCATTGATGTTTTCTTCTCCTTCTTTGGGCTGCCGACAGAGAGAGAATGAGGAGGAGATGGGTGGATGAATGATGGTGGAACATGATGATAATAATGATAATGATGAAGATGGTGGTGGAGTATTATATGATAATTTTGGGGGCTTAAGTTAGTGGAGTTAGTGGAGATCGAAAAATGGGCTTGTGAGATATCCCTTGGTTGGCTACGTGATTTGGGGAGATATTTGGGAATTAAGTTTTGGCTTTTATCCAAAACTGAATAGTTTACTCCAAATCGTACGCGCTTTTTCGCCCAAACTGCTCCGAATGGAAAACGGATTGTGATTTTGGAATCAGACTGTCAAAACTAAAATTTTGATGTAATCAGAATATTTTTCTGAGAACTTTTATTTTTATGAGTGTTCGGGTCTGTCTCAGTCATAAATTAATTTAATAATATGAATGAGATAAAAATATACGAATTCAATCCAAATGATTAATATGATGTTATCAAGTGTCAAAATTATGATTTCTAATCTTATGAAATCACTTTTGAATTGAGTTTATTTTATGGGTCAAAGTTACAAATTTTAATATTTAAAATCGTCATAGTTTGAAATCTATAAATCAGATTGGTTCATAAAATGTACCGTTGGATTCGTCTCTTCGAGACATATCCATAAAAATAAGTTTTTAACAAAAACTCATTATTTTGAAATCCCTTTATTTTTGGTCAAACGTCTAAATATTCTTCATTGGTCAAAATGATATTCAAATTTACTTTTGTTTTATAATAAATTTTAGGCCATATTTTGTGGCGTTACAGCTTTAGAAAACGTTGACCGCAATGAAGATGAGCTTGTTGAAGATGAAGAAATGCATGGAGACGAGGATGAGTTTGATGCTGACGAGGTCGAGACTGGTCCATATTTCCCGCAAACAGACAATACTCAACTCGGACAAAGTACCCAAGAAGATCTTTTTGGTGCGACACAATTTGACACACGCAATTTGGGTGCTGATAACTTCGCATCCTCGTCCATACCGCATGACTACGATAACAGGCCGATGATGGATTATTGGTTCGATCGTGGATTTAATTAAGTTTATTGTAATCATGGATTTTGTAATTTTTTATTTTTCGGTCATGTAATGGATTCTACTTTCTTTCACTTATAATATTTTTGTTCTTTTAAATTTTTAATTCTTGTGTTATGTAACTCTAAAAAGTAAATTTCGAAATAAAAAAAAGGAGGGCCAAAAAAATTAAAATTTTGAAAATAAAAATTTTGGAGACCAATAAAAAAGAGGAAGAATTTCGAGAGAAAAAATCTCGAAAATTTTAAAATAAAAAATTTTTAAGAAACGTTGATAGAATTTTGGATAGGGTACGGATGGTTGGATTGGGCTATAAGACACTTAAGTTGAACCGTATTAAAAGATTGAATCCAATCGATTAGTTAGTTCAACTCTAGAGCTTATATGCCGATTATTTTACTCTTGGATTTCCGATGTGGGATGTACTCTAACACTCCCCCTCAAGTGGACAACCGGGCCATTTTGAATCTAACCGGTTGACCACTTACAAATGAACTTCCATTCCCTTGACTTTTTTTTGAGCGCCAACACTTAAACGTTTAAAAACAAGTTTCTGAAAATTATTTAGATTTTTTGTTTAAAATTTGATTTGTCCAATCCCTTTATTTAAATGATTTATTAAACTTTTTCTTGTTGAACATCTCTTTAATAAATTTTTATTGATTGATTTTTTTAAACAAATTATATACTGAATCATAAAAAATATTTCTTTTTATTAAAAAAAGGGTTTATGAAATCGGCCAATTTTTTTTTAAACGTAAGTGTATGTAATTTTTTTGGAATGAAAAAATCGGCTTTATGAAAGCCATTTTTTTATATTTTTTTTACAAAAAACGGCTTTGTGAAAGCCAATTTGTTTTTAATTTTTTTTTACAAAAAACAGCTTTGTGAAAGCCAATTTTCAAAAAAAAAAAAAAATTGTAAAAAACAGCTTTACTAAAGCCTATTTTCTCACTTAGGAAATACCAGCTCCAAAACTTCCCTGTGGGAATTTATTCGCCATGCCCACCCCTACCTTACAATCTTACATTAATGGGTCCGACGGTCACATGAATACAAATTCTTTTCCGCCCATTTGACTCAAATACAAACTTTCCTTTCACCTCGTTTCTCCCCGTTCCGCCGCGCTCAAATCGCTGGATTTTCCTCTCTTTTCGGTTAAAAAGTCTTAGGTTCCAAATCTTGTTCGGTAAACAATCAAGAACAAACATAGGAAAAGAATGGGGCAGCAGACGCTGATCTATAGCTTCGTGGCGCAAGGGACAGCGATTCTGGCGGACTACACGGAGTTCACCGGCAATTTCACCGGCGTCGCCGCCCAATGCCTCCAGAAACTTCCCGCTTCAAGCAATAGATTCACCTACAATTGCGATGACCACACCTTCAACTACCTCGTGGAAAACGGTTTCAGTGAGTCTTCATTAATTCTCATCTTCCTCTGTTTTATGTCAAAAGAAGAATAACTGATGCCAATTCGCTTTCAATTGATAGAATTATCCGCGATTAAAATGATGACAATAATGCTTATGGAACTTTGTTTATAATTGATAGCATGAAACATGTTTTTAAGAGTTGTCTGTGAATTCGAAGCTATATATATTGTCATGATATTGATGATGATAATATGGAGTCTGAATGCAAGTAATATTGGTCCGTTAGGGAAATAATGTTGAACCCCTATATGCCTTTATATCCCCATCATGTTTATTTTGTGGATGGTGATCAGTTTGACCAGAGAGGCACAAGTATGACAAAAAGAAGGGGAAAAAAATGTTTCTGAAAACATAGGGGTGTGTGACAATGCTAGTATAGCTATCCAATAAAAGCGCCCATAAAAGGACTCTATTTTCAAAGAGCTTGACCTCAACCTTAGAATCTAGAAGAGCCTCACGAAAGCTCTTGTTGAAGGTCTCCTATGTCGACCTTCTTTTCAACCAATTTCCCTAACCATTACCATGTGCTCAATTTGGCCATGGTTCATCTGAGTGCAGAGGATGGCCAACCAGCAAACCATAACTTAAGTGCCACGAAGGGCAAGGAAGAGTCCCCATTACCAATGAGATATGCTCATCAAGGGATTTTAGTAAAGACACATAAAAGATGTGAATTCGATTGCGGGGCAGCTCAATGCGATACACCCAAGGACCAATTAAAATGGAGCCAAACTGCCCTGGCAAAGGTCTGTGATGGCTTCGAACAAAAAAGATCTAATGGTACGCATGAACACATACTAAAAGGGCCATCTCGATCCCTCTTAAACCATACAAATCTCACCAAAATTAATTCAAAAAGACCTTATCGGTTTCTAAAACAATAGATTCTATAGTATCCCATGGAGGAGACTTTTTCGCAAAGAAGGTAGCCATTTTAGGAGTTTTTATTTTATTTTATTTTTTTGCAAAGAAGGTAGCCATTTTGATGTGATCAGTTTTCTATATGTACTGTTGATTTTATTATGCCCATTCTTGGGTTTCCTACGGCTCACTAAGGACATGACCGTTAATAGGAGTCTTTGGAAGTCAAATGTTAGAGTTGTAGTGTAGATACTGATAAGATATGGTCGTATTGTCGGGCTGGTCGTATTGTGGCCTCTTTTTTTATCTCTCTTTTATGTTCTTTCTCTGTTTATTTGTTTCACTTTAGTGATTCATGTTTTCTGTTCTATTCTTTGAGCCGGGGGCTTTTGGAAACAACCTCTCTAGTATATACCCTTTATGTAGGGGTGTACCTTTTACATAGGGGTAAGGTCTGCATACACCCACTTTCCTATTCATGGGATTTTACTATGTTCTTATGGTTATTGATTTTATTTTAGAATAATATGAACATATTAGTCATCCTGCTTTGATTAAAGATTTTGAATTTTGAATTTAGAAAAGGCCACTAGTATTCAACATGTTCTATAATATTTGTCACGCGAGTTTCCTCTAACTAGCTACATATAGTTTACTTTGATCAGCTTAGGCTTTATCTAAATTTATTCTTTTCCATGTTATCCCTCAATCTCGTGCACTGCAGCCTACTGTGTTGTTGCTGCTGAGTCTGCTGGAAGGCAAATTCCAATTGCTTTCTTAGAGCGTGTAAAGGATGATTTCTACAAGAAATATGGTAAAGGGAAAGGTGCTACTGCAGGTGCCAATAGCCTGAAAAAGGAATATGGGTAGCTTCTGTTTCTACTTTTTCTCCCATAAAATTTGACATCTCTGATCTTTTTCTTTCTACTCACTGTTAAAATTTAACATAATTTCTTTCTACTACAGGCCAAAACTGAAAGAGCACATGAGGTATTGTGCTGAACATCCAGAGGAAATGAGCAAAATTGCAAAGGTTAAGGCTCAGGTTAATGAAGTTAAAGGAGTGATGATGGGAAATATCGAGAAGGTAGGGAAAAGCTTGTTGTGACTTTATTATCATATTTTATGGAACTTACATGATTGAAACCCACATGAATATATAAGCTGTTTATTCATCATATGCATGTGTCTATAGTAACATATGTATTTGGCGCTCAGGTTCTGGACCGTGGTGAGAAGATTGAGCTTTTAGTAGATAAAACTGACAACCTACGATCGCAGGTTAGTCTCCGAGCACTCTGAACCTGTATATATTATTGACCCCAAAAAACATTGAACATATCCTTAATTAAGAAAAGAAAAAAAACTGCAGTAAATAGGCACAGGTTAATAGAGTGATCGAGTGAGAAAGGTAAACACATCGTATTGCTGGATTCTTCATATATCTAATTTCTATGATCTCTTGCTCGGCATAAACCATCGAATATGATGCATTCTTGGTTTTGAGGATGTTCCCAGGCACAGGATTTCCGGAAGCAAGGGACCAAGATGAAGAGGAAGATGTGGTTTGAAAACATGAAGATAAAATTGGTTGTGGCGGGTATTTTTGCACTCTTGATTCTCATGATCATCCTGTCCGTCTGTCCTCATTTCAACTGCTAGTTGCATTGCGGGCGAAGGTCGTCCGGCTTAACCCATTTCCTGCAAAGCGGTTCCCTTAATAAGCATATGGTTGATTGATTCATGCATGGTGTTCTTGGTACGCGGTTCTTTGCCCAATATACATGACCACATATATAGCTTTGGCGCCAGCTTGTAAATTCTTCTTTAGGACTTGGTGTATAGGTTTTTCTTTAGGATGGACGGTATCTTTTTTTTTTTGCTGGTATATGCGTTGTGTTACCTGTATAGATACAACTGACAGAAATGTAGGTCCAATTCAGTGATGTGTATCTCTGAAACCAAAACAAAAAATAATCAGTGTTTCTGAACCTAAGTTAAATTTAAAAATGGTTCACTGCTATAGGGTACTTCCTTCATTTTTTTAAGTGTCTGATTTGTTTTTCGAGTCTAATGTTTGACTAACAATATCTCTTAAAATATACTTCTTCATTCCCAAAAAAAACTCTTAGGGCATGTTTGGTTGGTTGGGGGAGGGATAGAAAGGAATTGAAAGGGATGGGATGGATTCTATTTACCTTGTTCGGTTAGGGAAATGGAAGGAAAGGTTTTATATTACTTTATTTGGTTAGAGAGAGCGGAGGAGAAGGAATAAAATTTTAACATTAACAAATATAATTGTAATATAATTGTAATATAAAAAGTAAATAAAAAAATATTCTTCAATATAAATATGACAAAACATAAAATCATATACAAAAAGTAAATTGTCACCAAAAATTCGTTCGTGATCTAATATCCAATAACATTAAAAAAAAATAACATTCAAAATTATATTAAAACATATAACCACGTATTTTGAGAATATCTAAAAAAAAGTCGAAGTATTTCGAAATAGTTTTATAGCGAAACATCACTACGCCAAAAACAGCATCAGACTAGTACTGATGCAAAAAACAGTAGTAAAAAAAACAGATTATTATGTGTTTTTGTTAACTACAAAACGGTTGTCTAACACCGATAACTATTTTTGGAAATATGAGAAACTGTAATCTATTAATTGTAGTTTATGCCATATGAGAACACTATTTTTGTTCCCACAGTTGTCTGAATCGATTAAATACTACTCGTTGTTGACAGTAGTTTGACATGTTAATTTTAGACTCTTGCTCATAAAAAAGTCATGTAAGAGCATCTCCAACCATGTTAAAAAGACTTGCTATATGCTAGACTTGCTATAGTAGCCTTACTCTTGCTATTGTTTTTAGATGTAGTGTAAATGAAGATAATACAACAATATTTAACAGTTGTTTGACTTTGACGTAAGGCTACTATTATTGAACAAAAACTTGTAATTATTGTAGTGTAAACTAAATTAAGTTAATTATATGTCAATGGTAGTCCTTTCAAAAAAAAATATGTCAATGGTAGTATGACGACTTGTGTATAACTACTATTTCTAAAAGATAGTTGTCTCAATACAATCATATAGACAACTTTTTATCCATGTAAACTAATTTAACACTACTGTGTTTAATATTAGTTTGACGAGCCACAGCACAAATGATCTTGTATCAAAATTTCTGGTTTTGTATTTTTAAAGTCAAAGTCATCGATTTACCCTACATTAATGGAATGAATATAGCAAAAATGGGATTACATATAGCAACACCCAATTTTATTGATATAATGAAAGCATAACACATTACAAGAGGGGAGGACCAAACCAAGCCCCTCATAAAGTAAGGCAAAAACCCAAGTCAACAATACTATATATATCCCAACTTAATAACAATTCAATAACTATATGATGGAGATATAGGCTCGGCCCCCATGCCTGTAATGTTGGGCTCGGCTGTTACAAGGACAGACTGCGCTCGGCCCATTCAAATCCCCCTTGGCCTGACTTTAGTACCGGGCCTATGCCCTGGGCCCCCCGTCCTGCCCGACCAATTGTAGAATCGGGCATCGGGATTCATGCTCCCTCATCGTGTGACGCCCCAACGAAAGTCAACTCCTAGGGAACCACAAGGTTCAGTGGCCAGAGTGTGGGAACCTTATCAGAGGGTGATTCATCTCTAGGCATGGTGAGGGGCGGAGGAGGGGGGGGGCATGCCTGGGCAAGTGCCCCCGGCGAAATTCCGGCGAACTAGCGTTAGTGTACCCGATCGGCGATGGGAGGCCAGATTTGCCCCCCAATTGTCGCAGCGCCGCAGGTATGCTCCACTGCTCCAGTGACCGATCGAAGAAGATAAGAAGAAGGAGCAGTTACCGATAAAAAAAAGATGCAAAACGACGTTGTTTTGATATTGGGTTTAAAAAAATTATTCTGACCCTGCCAAATACTCGGCCCAACAGCCCAATTGCCTAAATGCCCAATTTTCCAAAAAAAAAAGGAGTGTAGCAGAAACGGTGAAAGGCTGAAAGCAATTATTCCTTCTCCACGGTCGGTGAAACTCGAAAGTCGAAAGAGCAGCACTGGAGATTGGAGAAGAAATCAAAACGCAGTGTCGAAGGATTCTTGAATTCTTCTGTGCTTCTTCATCCAAACTTCCGATCTTCTCTCATTGTCTAGGTATATGTAAATTTTAATTATCAAATTTTAAAATTTGTTTCTTAATATTTGAAATTTTTGAATATTGCTAATTTATGTTTTGAATTTTGAATATTTATTTTGTTTCGTGATTCTAGTGTGTTTGTTAATGTTTAAATATTTGATAAATCTTAATGTAATTTCAAGTTCTAGAGATTAAGAAATATGAAATTGTTGTTTTAAGGTTATTGAAATTTTATTTTGTTACTTTATTATTGAATCGGGAAATTTTGAGACGTGAGATGGATAAATTTGTTATTAGACAAAAGAAGAATTTAGAATTTGTAAGTGATAGAGATAATGAAAAAGAAGATTCTTCTTCTATAGAGAAAGAAAATGTGGTTTCAAATGATGATATTATTGGTGATCCGGGATTACGAAAACCAACTAATAATTTTCCATTGGAAATTAGAGATGTAATAAGGAGAAGATACTTAGCAAAAGGTCCTTGTAAGCCATCGATTGATAAATTTCCACAAAGTTTGACGGGCAAAAACAAAAGACGATTTCAAAGTTATTGGTTTGATAAGTTTAAGTGGTTGGAGTATAGTGTCGCCAAGGATAGAGCATATTGTTTGCATTGTTATTTGTTTTCGAATACAAACAAAATGGATCAAAGGCTTTTACTGAAGTTGGGTTTAACAATTGGAAAGATTGTCCAAAAGCATTTGTTGACCATGAAGGAACCAAAGAAAGTTCTCATTCTTATTGTAGAATTATCGTACTCTCGGTTAGCAACTGTTGTAAAAGTGGCTCGATATCTTTTGGGGGAGGGCTTAGCTTTCAGGGGACATGATGAATCTCCCGAATCAATCCAGCGAGGTAATTTTCTTGAGCTCATATCTTGGTTTTGTAAGACCAATGTAGCTGCTGACAAAGTTATGCAAATAAATGCTCCTAAAAATAATCAAATGACTTCTCCTACCATTCAGAGAGATATTATTGAAAGTTGTGCAATGGAAACGAGAAATGTCATATTGAATGAGATAGGAAAAAAAATTTGCTCTTTTGATTGATGAAGCTCGAGATTGCTCTGTGAAAGAGCAAATGTCAGTGATTTTGAGATTTGTGAATGATAAAGGGGAGGTTATAGAACGTTTTCTTGGATTAATTCATGTTGAGGAGACTTCTACAAAGTTTCTTAAAAAATCAATTGATGAATTTTTTGCAAAACATGGATTGTCCCTTTCAAGACTAAGAGGTCAAGGTTATGATGGGGCTTCAAACATGCGCGGTCAAATTAATGGGTTGAAAACACTTATTCTTAATGAAAACAAGAATGCATACTACATTCATTGTTTTGCCCACCAACTTCAGTTAGTTATTGTTGCGGCTGCACAAGATAGGGAGAGCGTATTTGATTTCTTTGAAAAGCTATTGATGATTGTTAATACAGTTGGATCCTCATGCAAACGGAAGGATTTTCTCCTTCAAGTACACGAGGAGGAAACTTTGCATCGCATAGAAATAGGTGAATTGTCAACTGGTAGGGGGCAAAATCAAGCAACACTTTAGCTCGACCAGGTGATACACGTTGGGGCTCTCACTACAAAACTCTTGTTCATCTCTTTGATATGTGGAATGCTATTGGTACAGTGCTAAATTCGTTACACAAGCATGGTGAAACACCCAAAATTAAAAACAGTCCTGGTGGTATTCTTGATAAAATGGATTCTTTTGAGTTCATTTTTATTGGAAAGTTTATGTTGAAAGTTCTAGGTATGACTAACACCTTATCAAAGATATTACAAGCACGAGATCAAAATATTGGTTGTGCTTTGAATGTGATTGGTGCAGTAAAAAAGAACTTACAAGATTTTAGAGATCATGGTTGGGATGCCTTTTTGAAGGAAGTTAGTGAATTTTGTGAAGAACATGCAATTGATGTACCTAACATGGAAGATTATATTCGTGGGCGATCAAGAAAGAAGATGAAAGGTGGTGAACCCTTGACAAATTATGTGCATTTTCGTGGAGAGATCTTTGCAAAGGTATATTACTCTTATTATATTTAAATGTTGATATCATTTTTGGAAGTATTTTAATATCATAACATATTAAATAAGTTATTATGGAAGATGGTGGGATGAATTATTGTAAGACTTTGGAAAAAATAGTTTTAAAATACCCAAAAATTGTAAGACTGGTTCCTAGGTCCCATGTTCCAATTGGACCAGTTTCCGTCATCCAAGAATGGGGTCGCGAGCATTGCGGACATGTTCCTTCGACCAGTTTCCCTCATCCATTCCGTAACCCCCACCCTCGTAGATCTATTCTAGATCTGTCTTCTTGTTGAAGATAACCCGAAAGAGGATGAATCTCTTTCATTTGAGATTTTGACGGCAAGAGGTGAGGCTAGGAGTAACGGAGGCTTTGTAGATCTATGGAATTGATGGCGGCGATGTCGGAAGAGAAGCAGATCTGGACGCCGCGTCAACTCCGACCACTGCCTCGCTGCTCCGCTGCTCCCAATCACTGGGTGACGGGACAAATTCTGAAGGGGGTGGAATAAATAAAAGAAGATGATGTAGAAGAAAAGAAAGAAGAAGAAAAGAACGAAGAAGAGAAGAGAAGAAAAGAAGGAAGAAGAAGAGAGAAAAACAGAGAAAAAAATGAAGAGGGAGTGGGTGAATCAAAATGGAAACTGGGAAAAGAAGAAATGGAAAAAGAGAGAAGAAAAGGAGGAAGAAGAATATGGATGGCCGGTGGGATCCATGAATGTGGATAGAGAGAAGAGGATGAAAGAAGCAAAAAAGGTTGATGATGGGGGTAATTAAGTCTTTTTAGTGTAAAAAATTTTCTTAAAAAGGAAATGGGAAGTTTATTTGTGGACGAACGAAAAAGGAAAGTGAGAAGTTTATTTATGGACGGAGGGAGTAATATAAATAAAAGTAACATAAATTTAAATAAAGCACAAAAAACTAATGATCATTTGAATGACTGAAATTATGTTCAAGTAAATCCGCCATTAGTGCGTCATGAATCTATCGACTTTGAATTTCTTGGCGATTTCTTTATTTTTTCTTCGTAGGCAGGTGCCTTCTCATCTGGGTTACAATGACAAATTGCAAACTCATTGTTATCTGTAATCATATTATGAAGAATAATAATGTATACTTAATGTTCTCATTTTCGTTCGAGGATAACACTTAAACGGAAAACTTATAATAAGCCACTTAGCTTTCCACATCCTGAAGGCTCATTCGATATCCTTTCTTGCCGCATCATGACCTTTCTTATACGTTTGTCGTTGAAGACCGATTGGTTCCTAGAAAGACTTGACAATTGTGGAATAATCTGGGTATATTTCATTGACAAGATAATAACCATGCTTATAAAGTATCTTCTACGCTCAAAAATGAGTCGGGTGCATTCTCATTAACCCAATTGTCAAATATAGGTGATTGATCAAGATCATTTATGTCTTTGTTCGAGTCGGCAAACCAAAAAGAGCATGCTAAAGCCATAGGTCATTTGAAGCTCTGTTTTGAGCATAATGGTAGGTTTGGGATGATTACCCTATGAATACTAACCATGTCACACAGTGAGACAATTTTTCCATTCTCAATGCATGCAATCGATGCTCCCAAGCATGTCGACAAAGCTGTGTTTAGCGGCACGCCTAACATGCAATGTCGCTCACCTTTTGCTTACGTAAATATCTTTTACGATACAATCGAATAATAGCTTTTGAGAATTTATAGACATAGCTCCTGATGTTTCGAGCCGACATCTTCAAGTACTCATCGAACATATCACTAGCGATTCGATACGCCCTACGACGAAGCGCCGCGGTGTACTTTTGGACGTTGCTTAAATCACTGACTTCTTGCATCAATACGTTGAGTAACCAAGGCACGTTTCTTTCAATATCGCGTAATATCATTAAAAACAAAGAACGGATCATTCGAAAATAGTTACTAAAATGCTCCATCGTGTAAACACATTAGGTGTTAAAGTAGTTGAGTAGTGCTTCGTGCGCAAGTGCGCAACCACCCAATCACAATTTTAACGCTCACTCCTGATTGAACGACTTGAGGGTTTTGCTTCTTGTTCTTGCGACCACTTATAACACCCCGTGGAGAAAACACAAAACATGAATGCTTTTCACTCTTCGTCAGATGAAGATGGTGATGCCATTGTTTTATATATAAATACTGGATATATTTTGGGTGGATTGTAAAGAAATGAGTATAATTTGGATGTATGTTTTACATAAAATGATACGATATTTATAGTTGAAAATGGAAAAGTGAAATAACTTTTTAATGTAGCCAAAAACTACTTTTTTGAATACGTGGACCATTAGAGGGGGGGGGTGCTTTCTCTTCCAACGCCACATTAACGCCTTATGAGGGTGCTGTTTAAACCTATAACGATGTTAAACTTGTTTTGAAGGAGCCTGAAGACATTTGTAGGAGTGAAATTTGTAAGATGGTGGGATGAATTATCACACATATTTTCCTTGAAACCTATAACCATGTTCCAACACCAGTCTTACAATTTTTGGGTATTTTAAAACTAATTTCCCATTACTTTGGAAGTCTTGCAAAGAAGATGGTGGGATGAATTATCACACATATTTTCCTTTGGTATATCGGCTTATAGAATTGGCATTGATATTACCTATTGGGACAGCTTCAGTGGAAAGGAGTTTTTCTGCGATGAATATTGTCAAGACTGATTTACGCAACCGTTTGGGAGATGAGCTTTTATCAGATTGTCTGTTGTGCTACTTCGAGAAAAAATTTTTAGGAGCATCGATGATGAAGTTATTATGCAGCGCTTTCAAAAGTTGGCATCTCGAAAAAATTTTCTACGGCCTCAAACAACTCTTACTCCTTTACACAAATAGAAGGAATGTTTACTTGAAATTTGCCAATTAAGATACTTACTATTTACTATTATGTATTTTGTTTATTTATTAAATGAATTTTTGCCCCCCATGAAGTCTTCCCTGGCTCCGCCACTGGGCATGGTCTAAGGAGACTGGAGGGAAAGTGTTATATCATAATAATAGGACAAATATAATTAAGGGAGCCCATGGGCCTCTTTAACTTAGGATATGGGGTATCGGTCCAAAATTGAATGTATAAATAGGGGCCCTGCCCAAAGGGTGAGGGGATCAGATTTTTAGTTATTCAATTCATATTACAAACTTCCCCTTTCTACTATTCGTACGATCCCTACCCCTTAGAATACATCAAGTGGTGCTTTCATTGAGAGGGTTGAATACATCCAGGTTCACCCTCCGTGTTTAAAAATGACTAGGTCCACCAGAAAATCCACCACCATCGCCCATGGTGTTGTACGAGTTGTGACTTCGGTGGAAAAACTCCTGGTGGAGGCTGAGTACGTTACTGTGTACGAGGAATCTGCATCCTCTCAAAGACCTAGGCCATCGCATGTCGAGCAAGGCGGCGCCGGGCGGCGACCACGTCCCTACGACAGTTACCAACCAAACTACTGGGAGACATCGTCGAAACACCTCAAGGGGGTTGACGGTGGATCTAGTGGCCACCCTTTTAAAAACTTTAGGTTTGGCACTTCAGCAGGTGCCGACGGCAGCCCATCAAAATGCCACAGACGGCTCTTTGGTACCCTCCGAAGCGGCGGCGGCTCTAGCCACCTTTTTCCCGAGGAGGGATGTGAATGGTCTCTTGCCTCCGCTTCGAGGTCCCACAAAAGAAAATGGCCGCCTCCGGCAAAAGGGCAAGGGATCGGCTCCTCCCGATGAAGCGGGTGACGACATCTCCATGTCGTCCAGTCGTGCCATGCACAAGCGACTCGCCGCCACAGTCAGGCATAAGCACCCACATGAATCGGGACTGCATGTGTCGGTGTTCAGTCAATTGGAGAGCGGCAACGTCGCAACATGCCAAAATCACACGGGGTTGGAAAACCCTTTGGCGATGGCGACGCCTCCTCGCAAAATCCATATAAGGTAGCAGGGACCTCGACGGGAATGCTGCAGGTCAGAAGAAATCAACCATGGCCAACGTCACGAGTTGGCGCTCGTGGTGGGCCCAGTTCACACTGCCATTGGAAATTTACAAGCTCTGACCTCGCTCCAAGATGCTCCACCGCTTCCCTCACGCAGGTTGGCCACTAGATCGGAGGATTCAATGGACCAAGTTCTCGCGACAATCGTAAGGGGAAATGGCGGAATTGAAGCGGCAGGGAGGGAAGGATGCGACGGACGATGTCACTATAAAGCTGAACACGCCCTTCACCACGAGAGTCCTCTTGGGGCCAACTACGTTGAACTTCTAAGTTCCATGGACTGGGTACTACAATGGAAGCTCGGATCCGTATGATCACCTCGACAAGTTTTGCACCAAGATGATGGTCATGAATTGTTCGAGCGAATTACTTTTCCGATCATTCCCCTCCACATTAGAGGTACCGGCCCACCAGTGGTTCGCCGATCTCCTGGAAGGTGGAATAGACACTTGGGAGGAAACAATGAGGAGAGTTTTGCTACATTTCATGGGAAGTCAGAGAACTAAACACCATTATACCTACTTGTTCTCGGTCAAGTAGAGGTCGGACGAGGACCTCAAGACATTCATAAGACGGTGGAAAATCGAGACGATAGAGGTAATGGAGCAGACGACCAGACCAATTTGTCCATGCTTCACGCAGCTCTACAAGTAGGGGACTTCTCGAAATATTTAATCCACCTACCCCCAAAGGATCATGCCAAGGCTATCAAGAGGGCTGAGTTGTTTGGCGATGCTGAACATCTCGAATCTCTAAAGCAGAAGGACGAGCGAAGGGACATGCAAGGCACCGCCGAGTAGTTCACACCGATTGCAGAATAAGATCTGTTGAAAGTTCTTGTCTTAGTGAGAAACCCAACTTTTCAAGAGTCTCGACATAGCCGATCATCTTGAGAACATGCGGACCGGCAGGGTTTCCAATAGAAAATTTGCAACTGAAGAGTGCCTTAAAGATTTGGAATCACTCATGCCTAGCTTGCCCTTGGTAGAGCTGCCTAAGGCGTAGGATCATATCGTACGCCTTCATGCTATCATGATGCTTCTGAAGCTCAAGCGTCATAGTAGCTAGCATGAGAAACGCCACTTCAATGTCATCATCAACGTGCTAGTCATATGATTCTTTAACTGCTCTAGAAGCAGTAGCAGCAGGTTGAGGAGGAATGACCTTTTCAAGCACATACTCTTTCTTCTCAAGACGAAGAACAACAATGAGATTGCGTTGCCAGTCCAAGAAGTTTGACCAGTCAACTTGTCTTTGTCTAGGATAGAACGCAAGGTGAGGTTGCGATTGTTACTCGTCATCTACAGATGATTTGAAAAATAGTTATTTATCAAGAATTAAGTAATTAGTTAGGACTTTAATTAAAAACTCTCCCACTATTTTGAACAAACCAACCACTCTCTAGTCTGTAACTTGTTGATTCGAGGTTTCTTTGTGGGAAAAATACCTTAGTGGGCCAAGGTCCATTTTATATTTAACTATAGTTGTGCTTTTCATCTTGCCATATAGTTAAACTAACTAGGTAGGAAAAATTTCTAATTGTAATCGCTATTACAACCCTTGAATTGCTAGGTTATTTTAAATAAAATTTTATCAAGGGCCTAGATCCTTATTTCATCTAATTATAGTTGTGCTTTGCATCTTGCCCTATAGTTAAACTATTTCGGGTATGAACTATTTCCAATTGAAACACTTTGCAACTCTAGCTAGATGAACTAATTTTATTTCTTAACCTAACGATGTGCCTTTAAGTCATTCATCCTTTTACCATGACTTAGTTAAGTCCAACCCGAGGTCTGTCAGCATCCATTGGTACGGATTTTGCGCCTCACCAACGTTAACCAGGCATCTCGCTTTGGCCTGTCCGGTACTTATTGAAATTGGCTTTGACGAGTGAGCAGGTGCCGAAAGGCACTACCTTAATATAACGAGGGATTTAAAAGTTGTCTCACCTATGGCATGCACCGTGCGTATGCACTAGCGTATACATACATTCATACATAACATGCTTATATATAAATGAACGTGATATGGTTGTGGCTCCTAAATAAAAACTAACGATAACGCCATTTCTTGATATCTCTATCTCCGGCTCATCATCCTCTTTCTCTTTAGTGATTATTTCTTCATCAAAGCTCTCTCCGGCCATGCTAATCTTTTCTTGAATATAACGGTTACATAATTTCGAAGAAAAGAATCCTTGCGTTACATGTAAGGGGTGTAAGGATCAAGAGAGAGATTTACATTTAGAGATAAAGAGATTAGACACGACACGCAGGCCGTATTTAAAAATAATAATAATAATACTAAGCCACAACCATACACCATGCATAACAATCATACATCACATGTAAACAGTCAAGTAAATACCGGGCAAACTGCCCTCGCCCTAGACCTAGTTTATTCTACGAGAAAATAAACTATATTTCTAAAACTAATAATTAAATTATCAAATAATTTAATTAAAAATATTTTAAAACTCCAAACTATTCAAAACACCATTTTGAAATTTATAGAATTTTAAAATAAATATATTATTGTTAATATAAGTATTAATTTCGAAATTGGGATTTTAATTCGAAATAAATACTTATACCTTTCGAAAATTAATAAATAAATTCCATAATGAATGTTTTGATTTATTTAATCTTAAAATCAATTTTTCAGAATTCAATTTTTTTTTCCGGATTTATACAATTAATGGCGTGGAGACATAAATTAATTTCCAAAATTAATTTTGAATATTCAAAATATTCCAAAAATCAATATTTTCAAAAGATAGACATTTTTTTCTCAGACCAAACCTGAAAAAAAATTTCCATATTTTATAAAATATTATTTCTAATTTATAAAATTTAATTGGTAGGAAACCGAATTAATTTCTAAAAATCGATTCTTGATATTTAAATATTCCAAAAATCATTATTTTCAAGAAATAAAGATTTTTTCTCCTACTTTATCATTGAAATCGAATTTCCAAATTTTTATAAATTTTATTATCCAAATTTTCATACCTATCCTTTTAGAAATTTCTAAAACAAATTCTAAATATTTAAAATATTCCAAAAACCCATATTTATCCAAAATACGGAGTATATAACTTTGTGTCCTACTAGTACATGGAAACTGAATTTCCATCTTGGTATATTTTATTTTCTTAAATATATCAATTATTATACAAGGAAACTTAAAATAATTTCAATAAATTATTTTCATAACTCCAAAATTTCAAAAAATATATATTTCCAAAAAATATTTATTTACCTTTCAATATAATAATTTTCCTGAAAATAAAATATTATACTTATATTTAACTAATAATTAACACGGTAATTCTAAGATTACCAAAATTGAATTATTAATAAATGCAAAATAATTATTTTAATTTCAGTATATATTCCCAAATAATTTTATACTATCTGAAAATCATATTTCCAGATTTATAAAATTATATATTCGGACTTTAAATTTTAATTCTTATTAATCACTATGACTTAAGAATTAGATCTAATTAAATACGAAAAATAGAAACTAAATCCGAAAATTCATTTTAATTTTCCATAATTATTAAAATCGCATTTTAACATTCCAGAATAATTTAAATTATTTTTCCATATTTATCTTGTATTTATTTTGTGATTAATCAAATTAACTACAAAATCATAGCAATACTCAAAATAAGGAATTTAATTTTAAAAATTTAACTTTATGTTTCCAGAATGCCCAAAATCATAATTTAACATTCCAAAATCATTAAAACTATTTTTATAATTTATGAAGTATTTATTTTGTATTTTAACCAATTAAACTATAAAACAACACTCAATAGATTAAATAGAAAAATAATCCAAAATTAATTCCAAAAATCATATATAGAGTTCAAAATCATATTTTGATACTTTATTTTATTTTGGTTGATTTTAAAAATTCATACATATCTGGATTAAATTTTTCAATTATCGAAAACCTAAATGATAACAAATCTACAAAATTTATAATTTCGTAAGCCGGCTCCGATATCACTGTTGGGTAAGCATGCATGGATAGCACCGAGGAAATAGAATTTTATATCCAATCATCATTACCATCCAAGATTGCCTTACGAAAACTATAAATTATTGTTAAGAAAAATATATTTTCTCGTAGAAAACAGATCGGACGGTGTAGGTGAAGGGATTGGTGCAACGAACCAGTCACAAAAGAATCCAACCTCTTGCGCATCCACATAAACAACGAACAGTGTTCTAAGAAGAATTTATGCTAGTAAGTCCTTCTTAGAATATTACTATAATATAAAATATATTGGGAATGATCAAGAAAAATATCAAAATATTTTTCCCTATAGTTTTTCGGCTCTCACTCTTGTTTTTCGATCCAAAATAATGAAGGAGAGATTGAGAGAGGTGTGTGTGGTTGACTGGTTGTATATAAGGTAGTTGTATATAAGGTAGTGGCGTGGAGAAGAAACTCATTAATTTTTATTTAATTAAATTAAATAACTAATTAAAGACTTAAAGGTAGAATTAAATTCTTCCTCTTCTCCCTCTCCTTATTTTTGGCCCTACCTAATAAAATATAACAATTTATTTTGTCAACTTTAATTACTCCCTCCGTTTAGAAATGTTCTTCCCATTTGACTTTTCACGGTCTCCAATATTACGCTTTGACCATTAATATCTATATTTATACATAATTATATTTTATAAAAATTTGATATTTGAAAACTACGTTTCATTATGAATATATTGATATTAAATTTACATCATAATACAATGTGTTTTTTCCACAAATCGTAGTCAAAGTTTACAAACTTTGACCAAGAAAAGTCAAATGTGAAAAACATTTTTGGACGGAGGGAGTATCATATAATTAAAGTAAAATAAATATATAAATGTATATATTTTTTGGTAACATATTACTGTGTATACATATATTTAATTTATATTTTATTTTAGATACAAAAATAATATTCGACAAACTTAATTATCACATAATTAAAATATCAACGTATATATTTTACATGAATGTCACACATCCCATATAAATATAGAATATTATTTTACTTCATTCCCATTTAATAATCTACTCCGTTCAATTATTCTATGTGTGTGACCCTTCTAGGTATTCATAACGATGGCAATAGTATTAATCACAATTAATACTCCGTACTATAAATGATAAGCGGTATCTAGAACACATGCATTATCGCTACCCATGTTATAAACATAAAGTTCATTGCAACAATACCTCCAATGACATATTACATTTGTATAACTATTATCCCTTTATCACTAATGTCTAGATTTAACACAAGGTATGGGAAGTGTAACCTTGTTAGAGTTAAATCGTTGGTTTACTGATTCTCAGACTTGTGGTATTCAAATAACATTAATATCATATATATTAATTTATCTGGGTATGGCCAAACATTTCCCAAGTCATAATAATCAGTGGGCCCGAAGACATTACACTTCATCTGAATGGAAGGAATAAATTCTTTCTACGTCATTTATGCCTTTACATATATTTACCTATATACCCAAAACAAAACTGTACGTCCACCAGTATTTTAGATGGCATAAGACATGAATCAAAGCATATATGTCAACATATTAAAGATCATAATGACTTCAAGTCTAAGAATAGTTATACCAATGGTCGAATCAGAATACTACTACCACATTTAAAATAATACCCATGTAGTATTCTCATGGTGGGTCAGTCCAGTACTATATCCCAGATATGTACCTACGTATAGATTAAGATATCACAATATCCATAGCCTATGAGAGCCAATTCTTGAAGAAATTGTCGTGTTCTTGAGCGTATACTAGTTCACTCAAATCTACTCTTTGTGAGAGTTTTATTCCTGAGTGTTTAAGTGTTTTCATACACTTTAAGGGAGGTTGTTCCCTTGTTGTAAACTCGAAGGAAGTTCGTTGTTCCTTCGTGAGAAGTCTTGGAGTGTGGTATCTCCGAGCAAAGGCGTTGAGGCTCGTGTGACTCGGGTTCTCAAGTTGTATCGGTTTGTTAAGCACCCTAAAGCTTAACGGAGTTAGTGTAGCTCGAGAGAGTCTCTCGGGAGGCTGGATTAGCCACACGTTGTGGTGAACCAGGATAAAATTCGGTGTGCTCCTTCCTTACACTCTTTACTTTAACGCTCTCGTTTTTAATTTCCTGCGATTTTGTTTTAAACGCTATTCACCCCCCCTCTAGCGTTGGGCCTTTATTATAACAATTGGTATCAGAGCCTTACTCTCGGTAAGACTTAACCATTTGAGAGAAACGATTAATGACTTCTACTCAAAGTTCATACGCAGGTTTAGGTGAAGGGCAATCCACCACAAGGCCTCCGTTGTTTGACGGAACGAACTACACCTATTGGAAGGAGCGGATGAGGATTTACATCCAATCCACCAACTTTCTCCTTTGGAGAATTATCAAGAATGGTGAAGACGTGCCAATGAAGAAGGTCGGGGAAACCAATGTCCCTAAGACCGAGAACGAGTATGATGCACAAGACATCAAGAAAGTGGAAAACAATGCCAAGGCCATCAATATCATCTATTGTGCCGTAAATCCGGATGACTACCGGAAGATCTCTTGTTGCACCACCGCGAAGGAAATGTGGGATAAACTAGAAATCACCTACGAAGGTACGGATCAAGTCCGAGAAGCTAAAATTGATTTTCTAACCCATGAATATGAATTGTTTCGTATGAAGGAGAATGAGAAAATCGATGAGATGTTTGAACGATTCTCCAAAATCGTAAATGATCTCCATGCTCTCAAGAAGACGTACACGGACAAGGAGCTTGTGAGAAAAATCCTGCGAAGTCTCACACCGGAGTGGCGCTCCAAAGCCGATGCCATCCAAGAGTCCATTGGCATCACCAACGTCACCATTGACGGGCTTAGAGGTAACCTCAAAACCTATGAGTCTACCATTTTATTCCCCTCTTTAGGTGAACAAAAGAAGAAGGGGATTGCACTCAAGGCTTCCTCAAGCCAAGAACCCGCCATGGAGGAATCAAGCGATGAAGACAACGAGTTCGGGCTCGT